GCGTCCATGGATACCAGCTGTCAGTCTATACCGATGCATACCATGGTCCCCAGGCTCCAAAACCACTTGATGCAGGTCCTAGCAAAGACCACGCGAGGGCTGCATGCAAGAGAGTGCAAAACCCAATGAGAGAGATGATACAAAGTGTGCTCCGCATATACTTAACCTTTAAATCAGCGTGCAATCATGTATAATGAAGTATATAATATATAAATAATAATGTACAGTTGTTTTAATATACTATAGGCCAATGTACATGGTACCACCGGCATCAAGCCTTATCTAATGGTCGGGCAGGCCGACGCCCTAGGCATCAACCTACTCGAGTGGAATGCTGACTGCTCTCTTGATTGCGTCTTGCAACTCCCTTTGCTCTATGACCAAATGGCCATTGCATTGTGGTAACCACATCGTTGGCATGGTCGCTAGAGCTCCCTCGCCATTCGTGACTGGGTTCAATCACACAAAGTCGTGGCCCTAGTCTATGCCTTCCATTGGAGTTGACCTCAATGTGGGGAGCAGCCTGGGAGATGGAGTTCTACTTATTCGCACCCTCTCATAGCGTGTCAGGCAACTTGTTGCATATCACGGATACTTGCATTACATGGTCGGGCCCCAAAGGGCCAGTTTATTAGGCTTTGTATGACATGGTGACCTGTCAAGCTAACGACAGATATGTCGCACTACATGTTAGGGAAATCTAAAGGAGTAAAAATACACATTGCTCATGCAAACATGCTCACTCAAGTGGTGCACATACACACACACTTTTACTGCAAATTGTGTGCCAAATCGCAGGAAGCTTGCAAACTTGCAAATGTGGCACCCTAAACCCCAAACCACGTACCCCCCACCACTTTCTTATAGGCGTGAGCGAGTGTCAAGGCTGTGCTCCAAGACGCCCGCCCTAAGGATGCTAGCGCACCTTTCTGAAGTGAAAGGTCATGGCGATCGACCCGTTGGAGCGATCGCACCAAAGAGAATTGACCTTTCCCCACCACACCCCATATCCCAACGTTGCTCGCTTCCAGTTGGCGCCAAGGAGCCACCTCAAGGCGCTGCAGTGAGGCCGCCAAGCCTCTTTGAAGTGAATGTCCATGGCGATCGACCTGTTGGGTCAATCACCAAGGACGCAATTTTCGAATTCGAACATGCCCCCTCCCCCCCCACCCGCACCCCCACACCCCACCTCCACCTCCACCTTCCTAAACTACCAATCGTTCTAGTCTATGGCCAAGAGGTGCCAAGAGACACTTTAAAGCAGCCGCCCAGCTTGGTCGAAGTGAACATCGCAAGGTTGCGTCGATTGCCATCAACAGATTTTTCGATTTGGCCCCCCTCAAACCCCACTTTCCCCCGACTTCTCCTCCCCCCCCCAACAAAATGACTCGAGCCAATGCTATAGGCGATGGCAAACGCCACCACCGGCCACTCGCCCAAGTGCCGCCTGGGTTCACGCTACCCATTGCACCTCCCCCGCTTGCCAGTCAGTGGTCCAGTGCATGCACAACACTTGTCGCGGAGCTCCCCACCCATGCTTTGTAACGCAAATGTCATAATTGTTGCGTGTGTAATGCAAAAAAGTGACCACGCGCACACGGCGCATGGCACCAAAGGTACCCCCTCTCTTTCCCTCTCTTATCCCTTTAGCTATGCAAGCACCCACCAATGCCCAACGCCACGAGAAACCCGGGAAAGTCGGCTGGAGCCGGGTGCACTCACCCCAATATCGGACCTCGCTGCCTCCGCTGCGGCCGGCAAAAGTGCTCCGGCGTTGGACCGTGAGTGGGCTGTCGGGCCATGCCATGCGCCAAGTAATCATTGGGCAAGCTGGGATTGGCATGAGCATCCGGGCCGGGCGGCCATAAGCCGCTGCTGGTCGCAGACGCGCGACCGCTATGAAGCCCGACGGGCGGCGTGGTTCACGCTGGCGCCTTCGCGGCAGAAGCATCGGCGTAATTCAGCGCCAGAGGTCACCGATGTATTACGCAAAACCGTAATCGCCGCATGCAGTGAATCGCACGACGGCACTGAGGTGTCCGAACCCCCTCCCCGCCTTAGTCATGCCTAAGCCCAGGCCAACAGACCATGTGCACCGGCCGAGCAAGCCCGGGGGAAGCCGGCAGTAGGTAGGGTGCCGCCCACGCCATGCCGTACCCGTGCACAGCGCGCCAGTGTAGGGAGCCCGGGGATGGGCGTGAGTGGGCGGTCAGCACCCGTGCCGCCCGCCGCACCGCATGTGTGCCACAGGAGGTGCAAGGAAGTCGGGGAGGGTGTGAGTGGCCAGTCGGCACGCATGCTGCACACCGTGCGAAGCACAAGGAAGTCCAGGGAGGGTAATGAGTGGGCGGTCGGCGTGCATGCCGCACGCTGCATAAGGCGCAAGGAAGTTGGGGAGGGTGTGAGTGTGCGGTCGGCGTGCATGCTGCGCGCCGCGCGAGGCGCAAGGAAGTCGGGGAGGGTGCGAGTGGCCAGTCGACGTCCATGCTGTGCGCCACCCACGCACAGCACGCAGCGCCAGGAAGCCCAGGGAGGGGGCGGTGCATGCGCAATGTGCGGTCAGTGGCGTGCGGTCGGCGGCGTGCGGTCGGCAGCCTGCGGTCGGCGGCGCGCGGTCGGCCGAAATCGCAATTTTGCTCTATAAAGCTCCACTCGCGTCACTCGCTCGCAATCATTTCCAATTTAATTTATATTATTAAAGGGGAATGAATACCATTATACATGTCGCCACCCAAATTAGAACGTTTGGGTATTTGGGCCCCAAGGTTTCCAGAGGAAAATCCAAAGGATTGGACTCTCCTCTTTATTTGGAAGCCTTTGTCCCCTTATAATACTAAAGGGGAACTTTTATATTTATTATTAGACATATTGGGGGCGGTCCCCCTTGGCTCCGGTACGTGGGGGAAGACTTGGGGCTGAGTCATGCCCCGTTGGGATTGCGTGGCCTCTGGGAAGTTTCTTGAGCTTGGCAGAGTATAAAAAGGGCAGCTATCAACCCTTTGTAATATTCGTTTCTTTTTTTGACTGATCTTCAGTCATGCCCACGCAAGGCATACCCTGCGGTATGCCACCCTTATTGCATCCGCCCTTGTACGGCTGCCTTTGCGCCCGCTGCGGGCTATGTCTTTGAGCCCACCGCATGGACCACACCAGCAAGCATCCCGACCAAGCGCCACCCGGGGTCCGAGCATTACAGGCTGGGAGCGAGAGGGATCGATGCCGCCACGTCTCCCTGCCGTACGCCACAAGAGGCTGAGGATCGGCGGCACCGAGCGCCGCAGCACTACAACGCGCGTGTGCTGTATACGGCATGTGTCAACATGCCTACCAATATTTTGGGTTGCTCCTTAGATGTGTCACATTCCACCATTGCGACCCACTGACCTTTCAACGACCCAAAACATACTTCAAATCTCTTTAACTATTCCTGTCCAAAGTGACTGCGAATTGGAGCCTAATGACTATTGTACAAACCCCAACTTTGTGCCTAATGGGCCAATACGACTGTCAATAAATTGTGACTCAAGAAAATGGTCCAATTCTCCAATGTTCCTCAAAATGTCTATGACATTAATCAACCCATCGACCAGCCCCCTGACGAACAACAAGTTTTCTTAAGTATTGCATCAAACTCATCAAATTTCCATAACGGTTTGTTTCTCCAATTTCAAGGCAATACCATTGGACGACCCTCAACGGCCCAGGGACCATCTTCTGAGAATCAAAACATCCTTATACGATGAAATTAGCATCCTGAACTATTTGTGCACCTAAGTCCTGGACTAAGACATGTTCCCAACGCCATTCTATTTAACCAAAACGCCTTTAATCACAGCGCATGATGCATTGCAGCTTGAACCAGTGAAAAATGGTTGTCATTTCTGCATACGAACTCGGTCAATCTCCTCCTAATTCTTACCAGAATCCAATTGTCCGTATTGGTCAACGTTATGGCAGCTATTTCAGCTTTCACTTTCACAAATTCTAGTCCAAATTGTCTCATAGACTGCTGCATAATTCTGTCACCATAAGTCCTGCATTTCTCAAATTTTGGCAGCATTTCCCCCTTTTTCTTACTTTTGATATTCCAGTATTACTCATAGTGTTCTAGCCTATCTTCTATCCATACTGGCTGCTTTCTGGGAATATTTCTGCAACGTTTCCTCTAGGTTTTTGTCTTTTCATCACCAGGCCCGTCCCACATATCTATAATACTGCTTTAGGACCGTTTTTACATGGTCCTTGAGGCTGAAAAGTGCATCCTTAGAGTATGAGCAGCATTTTTGCCTGGCCTTTGAGTGTTTTTCACTATCTCCATTTTCACCTTTTCCCTTTGATGCCCAAGAACGGGCTGGCCATGCTCGCTTACTACTAACCAGTATTGCGCAGATACTCCAGCGTGCTTTTCGCTTTTTTGCATCGCTGGGCGGCTGTCCATGTCAAGCTGACTGGTCTACGGTGTAGTGACACCCAGTCAGTCGCCTTTTGTTGGTCATGAGCCCGTCATTTGATGACGTGGCCCAATGACTAACGGCGAATTTAACAGGTGTGAAAACGGCGGCCTGGAGGGAATGACGAATCCCTTGAGCGCGCCGCCCGATACGCTGTAGATGCTCGGCGCCGCCATGGCCATGGCCATGGCCGCCATGGCAAAACTCTCCATCGCCGCCGAGAGTCAATGCCGGTGTGGGCGCCTCGCCAGCGCCAAGCGCCGCGCACAGCACACGGCGCTCCCTCATCTTCTCCCGAAGTCGCCTGCCCACGCCAGGCCACGCCCAATTGTGTGGGCGTCATTCTATGCGGGCATCACGCATTTCTGACACACTGCACACCTTCCCGCTGCCCCCACACATACGCTCGCCTTCCCCCCTCCCACACTATTGCCGGCAGCGCCCGCCAGCCCTCCCGCCTGGATCGACGCCTCCGGAACCAAACCATCCCCACCGCGCCGCGAGCCCCGGTCCAGCCGGACGCCATCCGGCCCGTGCCGAGGATCGGCCATGGCGGACGCGGCCCTGATGGATGGCCTGACGCACTCGGACTCTTTGGGCCACGTTGGGGGTGAGGATCCCTGGAGACTGCCATCCGTGGCCGACTCCGGCCCACCACAGCCCAGCGCCCGCCGGGCTTCCCAAAAGGGCGCCTCTCCGGCGCTGCAGACCTCGCTTGATGATGACAACGAGGGGCGCCCCGCTGCGCCGTCGACGCCGGCGGACCGGTGGGACATCGTGAGGAAGCGCGTGGTGAACGCCGTGGGCGCCAGCCTGTGCTTCAGGACGCTCAGGGACATGTACGGGGAGTTCATGCTGGATCCGGAGAAGCTCACCTTCGTCAAGACCCTGGGAGGTGGGCGGGTGCCGGGGGCTTGGGAGGTGTGAAGGGGGATCGTGCCATCGTACCCTGGAGTGCGGCAGGCGGGCTTGCGAGTGGGGAGGGGGCGGTCTGGAGCGTGCTGAAAGATTTGGGCGGGTGTGGATGCGGCGCAGAGGGGAATCACGGCAAGGTGGACAAGTACAAGTACTCGGACGAGAGCGGGGAGTCGTTCATCGCCGTGAAGCGGCTGAAGAGCAGCATGGTTTCCGCTCAGGCGAGTGAACGCCGGGCGCACGGCGTCCCCGAGCTGGGCCGGGACGATAAAGCGTCGCGTGGCAGTGGGGACGCGGCTGTGCGGCGCGGGTCTTGCGTTGCGGACGGTGTCGCCGGGCGGGCGCTGACGTCTTTGGGGAGGCCTTGCTGTCGGTACGACCGGGATCTTTGGTGTGGCGTAGGCGGCCGCGCGGAGGGCGGGATGGTTTGGATCTTTGGTTGGGGACTGGGCGCGCCGCTCGCGCATGCCGTACTTGGTGCGGAGTGTTTTGTCGCTGGTCGACGGCGGATCGACGCCGGGGACCGTCGTTTGACCGGTCGATGGCTGACTTTCGGTGGTCAAGTTTGCGCGAACGCAGGACATGCTTGACTTCATCAGGGAAGTGGAACTGCTAAAGAAGGTGAGAGGCTGACAGGGGCTTCTGCGCGCGAAGCGAGGATATGCACTTGCGTTTGTCACTCCTGTTGGTCATGTTTTCGGAGTGGTAGCGAACCGGGACTCTCTAAGTCAAGTCAGCGTTTTCTTGTTTGCACTCATTCGGGCTCGGTGATACTGACAAGAAGGAGACGTCGTGCATGGAAATTCTTGCCTCAGGGGGGAGAGGAACCCGGCAAGCTGTACTTTTTGTGAACTCACCCACTCAGCATGGAATTCCTCCAAATGCGTTTGTCACAAAGTGACAAAACACAGTCCCAACCCCCGCCAGGCGTCGTCAGGCACATGGCTGCATTCTGAGTGTCCAGAATGAAATGTACAGGAACGCCGAACTCCAAACTCACTGCCCTGCTGCCCTTGCCATTTGTCAGCTCTCACACGATTGCATTGCCACCTATCGGGGATCTGGAACCCTGCCACCAGAGGACACGGGAAGGGAGGGAGAGCAAACAGAGGAACAGGATCACGACTTGTACCTGGTGAGAAAACGACCATTGGAGGGCACAGAAGTCGCAAGAGTTGGCATGGAAACTAAAGCAGGTTGTGCTGTGGTCACTCACTTTTGTGAGAAGCATGGGATACCTCTTTCAAGTCAGGCGCACTGCATTGATGCCTGCAATTGCCAGACCCTGCAATAGGCTAGGTGATATCTTTCTCGCGTGGATCACAACAGCAGATTCTGATTATTATCGGATCGTGTATGCCAGCCACTGCGTAGGGTGTCCGATACCTCTGAAATTGAATAGGCGTTTTGAGCAATGTGAAGAAGAGCAGTGATCAGCTAGTCTTCATTAGATTCTGGGTCGGGTTTCCACAGCTTCTACCGATGTTGACTATCACAAGATGCTCTGATGGCATCTTCTGATGGCACAGTGCAGGATTCCAAAACCCACCAACATTCTTGTCATTTGGTCATCGATTTGTGCCCATCACTTGCCTTTGAGCCACACATCATTTGTCCGCTGTGCTCCAGGCAACAGAGTGCCTCGATGGTGGGACTCTGCGAGACATATTGATAAGAGAGATGCAGGAGAAACACGGCACTCAGCACAAGTACACACTGTAGGTGGTGTGACAATTGGCTGTTCAAACTTCGCCTTTCTTGCATTAGCTCAAATTTTCATCAGAGGTAATTCTCTGTTGCTGTGTTGGCAAGAACAGGATTCTTGCCATCACAAAGCATTGCTTTTCCCACTGTAGATGCGGCTCCAGTCCAGACCTGCCCAAAAGGGGGGTATATAAGCTGTTGATGCTGCTCAGCAATGTCGTGCTGTACTCTTCTTTGGCCACAATTGTACCATGGCAAAATGGCGCCACTACATGAAGACAAGATGGGGACCGCTTCTGACCTCCAGGATTCTTGCTGTGTCCATGCATATCCATGGCTCAGATGGTCTGTGCCCCACTTGTGCTGATGACTGGCCAGGAAGGGAAACAAAGTAATGCTAACACACAGTAGTGAGTGATTCAACAGGAGGGCACGCTGTCCATGGTATGTCCATTTGTTTTTGGCACAGCGGGCACACTTTTTGGCCATGGTCTATGGCCTGAACCTTGTAGGGCGAGCAGCATTGCACTCTCAAGTTGGTTGAGCTGTATTTTAATTTAATATCTCAGGTTCAAGTTCACAGTTGTCCATGTGGACACAGCAGAACTTCAATGGCAGTAGGAATGTGGGGGAAGTGGCAGTGGAAGGAAATGGATAGGGTGCACTGAAACCATCCAAGTCGATGACAAGGCTGCGCTGTGATGGCTCCTGATCATTGCATCTGTTCCCCTAGGTTGGAAGCTGCGGTTTGGATGCTGGATGTCGCTCGTGGAATGGCATACCTCCACGGTGCTGAACCTGTGGTTATGCACAGGGATCTGAAGTTGGAGAACATAATGCTGACTGGTATGCACTTCTGAATCAAGTTCAGTCCCGCATATATGCGGCGCATATTTCCTTTGGGTGGCAGTTGAACGTGTTTGGAGCAGCTGTTCAAGGGCAGTGGCTGTCCGTGTATTGAGTAATGCAGTGCAATAAATGCATAGGCGTGTGTGCAGCAAAGGCGAATTTACACACTGTGCAGGCTGGTGCTGCTCTGATGGTACTGGCTGTGGGTCTGTATGAATGGATGCACCCTCAGAAGCAGCATGAGAAACGACGAACTGACCATCGTGTGTGTTGAACTCCAGTGGTCTGCAAGTACTTTACACTGCTTGTCAAAAGAATACGCAGCCCCAAAGTCCTCACAGTGGACCAAGTTAGCAGGTCACCAGGAAGCAAGCAGCCTTGGTTCTGTGAACAGAAGTTTGTTTCAATTTTTTGCCAATGAATAGCCTGTTATTGTGCCCAATCAATATCGTGTTATTGTGCGAGCCTGAGGCACACATGTTGGGCCATCGTCTTCGAAAGTACCTTAAGTAGCCATGCTTGTGCCTGTTGGGCGTTGCAGCCACACACATGGTGATGTCAGCAGGTGTGAGTCTTGTCATGATGGCCCCCTTTACCATTTGTGCGTGGTGACTCCAGATGATGGTCGTGCCAAGATTGTCGACTTTGGCCTTCACAAGGTGATAGGTGAGCAGGTTTGGGTTGCTGCAGGAACAATTGTGGGCTTGTGCTCGCATATCTTGCAAATGCATTGGTGGCTGCTGTCAAAGATATCCTTGCTCAGAAGATTGCAAGGTTGGTGGAATGCGTGGCTGAGGGAAAAGCCTGGTCTTCTGATGGCCATAGTTTTTCGTGAACAAATGCTGCATGCCATCACACTTTGTAGCTTCGTTGTTGAGCTGAGAGAGTGCCCCTCAGCCCGTTTGTCTCTGTTCCAGTCCTCCTTTGTTTGGGGCTTGTGTGCTTTGGAGAATTGCTGTGCATGGTTTTGTTGAGCCATCTCAGTTTGTGCACGTTGGACCAAGACAACCATGCTCCAGACCATGCAAAGCAGCCGTTGCTGCTCTTCTCTGTTGCTTCCATTCCAGGCTTCCTTCAAGCTGACCCGAAATCTTGCACAGTCATACTTTACAGTGCTGCTGACTGGCACCAACGCCAGACAGGGATTCAGACACAACCATTCAAAGCTCTGGTAACAGAATCCTGTTGCAGAATCAGTCTTAAGTCCGTCTTGAGGTAGATATTGTCTGCGTGATACCAGCTCATACCAGCTGCCTTGATGTTGTGTGTTCCATTGCTGTCTTGTAGACAGCTGGCTGAGAGAGTATGTCAAGGATGATGAAGGCCTGTATGAGATGAGCGGAGGCATGGGGGCATACATCTACATGGCGCCTGAGTCGCTGAAGTCAAATCGGTACAACCACCTTGTGGATGTCTACGCCTTCGGCATCATTTTGTGGGAGCTGATGCACTACGAGATGTTAATAAATCGTGTCTCTCTGCATGGAACAACGGACGACCTCAAGAACTTTGCAAAATACGTCTCCAGAGAGGTGAGACAGCTACAAAGTCGACCACAGCACAAAATCTGCAAGTTTCCACAGAATCGTTGTTCTGTATGAGGCATTGCCAAGATTGCGTTGTTAGTCCCTGCTGTTTGTGCCGCAGCTATTCTTGGTGACGTGTGGAAGCCCTGCCCAGTGGTCTTCACATTTTATTTGTCCAGTGCCTGTCAATTCACCTGCATCTGCTATTGTTCCAAGTCATAGGTTTTGGCCATCAAGTGTTGGTTGCTAGTTTGTTGCAAGCTTTCTATCCGCTATTCCGTCGTGTGTGCACAGTAGGACCATGCAACAGGTTTGTTCAGTGCTGGGTGTGGATCTTGGAGGAGTTGGAGTGACCATCAGACTGGTACTATATGCTGTGGGAGGCGCCCTTTAGGTTGTCGCACCTGGTGCTTGCCATTGAACAAAAATCTGTCGTTGTTGTTCTGGCGCAGGCATGGCGGCCACCCATCTCCAACGACCTGCCAAAGGGGATAGGTACAGAGGCGTCACTGTTGGTGACTATTTGTGACTTTGAAGTTTGATGACACAGTCAAGAGCTCTTTGCTTTATTGATGCAGGACTCATCCATATCTTGTTTCTTGTAACCAGGAAATGAAACAAGACAGTAGAATTCTTGCTGCTGCCTTGTCTGTCAGACTGTCTTATTCCTGAGAATGTTTCATTTCTTTGTGTCAGGGCTCGAGCACTATCTTTGTGCGACCACTCAGGACAGTACACTACTATGCTATGTGACGCAGTCTTTCAACCTGAGATCCACAGTTC